TCAGCCTCAGCCTCAGCCTGCCTCAGCATCAGCCTGCCTCAGCCTCAGCCTCAGCCTGCCTCTGCCTCAGCCTCAGCCTGCTTCAGCCTCAGCCTCAGTCTGCCGTCGGCCTCGGCCTCAGCCTCAGCCTGCCTCAGCCTCAGCCTGCATCAGCCTCAGCCTCAGCCACAGCCTGCCTCAGCATCAGCCTGCCTCAGCCTCAGCCTCAGCCTCAGCCTGCCTCAGCCTCAGCCTCAGCCTGCTTCAGCCTCAGCCTGAGTTTGCCTGCAGCCTCGGCCTCAGCCTCAGCCTGCCTCAGCCTCAGCCTGCCATCAGCCTCAGCCTCAGCCTCAGCCTGCCTCAGCATCAGCCTGCCTCAGCCTCAGCCTCAGCCTGCCTCAGCCTCAGCCTCAGCCTGCTTCAGCCTCAGCCTCAGTCTGCCTTCAGCCTCGCCTCAGCCTCAGCCTGCCTCAGCCTCAGCCTGCATCAGCCTCAGCCTCAGCCTCAGCCTGCCTCAGCATCAGCCTGCCTCAGCCTCAGCCTCAGCCTGCCTCAGCCTCAGCCTCAGCCTGCTTCAGCCTCAGCCTCAGTCTGCCTTCAGCCTCGGCCTCAGCCTCAGCCTGCCTCAGCCTCAGCCTGCATCAGCCTCAGCCTCAGCCTCAGCCTGCCTCAGCATCAGCCCTCAGCCTCAGCCTCAGCCTGCCTCAGCCTCAGCCTGCTTCAGCCTCAGCCTCCTGCCTCAGCCTCCTCAGCCTCAGCCTGCTCAGCCTCAGCCTCAGCCTCAGTCTGCCTTCAGCCTCGGCCTCAGCCTCAGCCTGCCTCAGCCTCAGCCTGCATCAGCCTCAGCCTCAGCCTCAGCCTGCCTCAGCATCAGCCTGCCTCAGCCTCAGCCTCAGCCTGCCTCAGCCTCAGCCTCAGCCTGCTTCAGCCTCAGCCTCAGTCTGCCTTCAGCCTCGGCCTCAGCCTCAGCCTGCCTCAGCCTCAGCCTGCCTCAGCCTGCCTCAGCATTCAAAGTGTGGCCCGGGAATGGAGTTCTGGGAACTCGAAGAACACGAAATGGCCTACAGTTGGCTCCGGGCATTCAAAATCATGCCCAGGAATGGAGTTCTGGGAACTCGAACACCACGAAGTGGCCTACAGTTGGCTCCAGGCATCCAAAATGTGGCCCGGGAATGGAGTTCTGGGAAGTAGAAGAGCACGAAGTGGCCTACAGTTGGCTCCGGGCATCCAAAATGTGGCCCGGGAATGGAGTTCTGGGAAGTCGAAGAGCACGAAGTGGCGTACAGTTGGCTCCGGGCATTCAGAATGTGGGCCGGGAATGGAGTTCTGGGAAATCGAAAAGCACGAAGTGTGTGACTGTATGCGAAAAACGATCCCCCCCCGGCAAACCCCAACGGCCCCCCAACGGCCCCCCAACGGCTCCCCAACGGCTGCCCAGACACCCCTGTGGAGTCATCTGCTGCTCTCTTTTTGGTTCATTAGAAACCTATCAGTCTTCGCTGTTAGGTAAAAAAGAGCCTTCGAAATCCCACCAACCCTCTGGGCGTAGCTGGTCAAACGGTAACTTTCTTTCCTCTGTCACAAACTCATCTCCCTTCGGGGAGGGGTACCCACCCCTCGCCTCCCTGTTTTTTTGTTGGGGGGGTCCGCCGTGTGTCAGAGGGTCTTTCTTCGCCCAAAATGGCTCCTACAAGGCCTCCGATGCTCCAAGATTGCTCCCAACATGCTTGCAACAGGGCCACACGACGGTTCCTAGTGCTTTGGGAGACCCTTCAGGACCCCCAAAGAGGCAAACTCCATCAAATACCTACGGACAATCAATGATTTGTGCTTTCTCGCCTTTTCGCTTCCGATGCGCTTCTGATGCCTCCACATCATCCCCCAAGATGGCCCAAGAGAGCTGCAAGCGGGGCCCAAGAGGCCCACCAGATGGCCCCAAGAGCGCCCAAGAGGGCACACAGGCGAATCTGAGGGCCCCAGAAGGGGTGGGGAACTGTGGGACCCCCCCTCTTTTGTTCGATAGCCTCCAAGATAGTCTCAATCGGCCGTCCAGGACTCCCAAGAGGGCCTAAGAGAGCTCCGAAAGGCCCCGAGACGGTCCCAACAGCGCCCAATAGCGCCCCAAGGGCGTCCCACGACGACCCCACGAGACGGTTTGCCTCGTCCTCCTCTTCTGCCTCCTCCTCCTCCTCCTCCTTCCCTCGCCCCCCGAGGGGCCAAGGGATGGCCCGAATAAACCCTCCGAAGCCACCCCCTTTGCTCCCAGAGTTCTCTCTATATCAGTCCTGGTTTTCGGTTGTTTCACATATGTGTCTCTTCGTCCCTTTTCCTGTCAACTCTCGGGCGTCCCATGTGGGCACTCCGGCGGCCTCTTGGGGCCATCTTGATGCCAACTTGTGGCGCTGGCAGCCTCCTGCGGGAGCTCGGGGGGCCTCTTAGGACCGTCATAGGGCTCTCTTAGAATCTTGCAAAAGCCCAGGAGCCTCCTTAGAAGAAGGAACAACGGCATAAACATTACTTTTGGCGCCACGCGCGGAATTCTTGGATTCGCGCTGGACCCGCCTCCGGCGCTGGGGGTCTAGCGCTGATCCGAGAAATTCGCGCGGACCTTGGAGTTTTTATGTCATGTCATGTCATTGTTCGTCTCCCTATTTTTTAACTTTTGCATAGCCCAGGGGCCTCCTGGGGCAGCCCGGGGGAAGCTCCACGGAGGCTCCGCGGGGGGGAGGGTGCCCTCAGGGGACCTCGGGTGCCCCTGGTGGGGGCTGCGGCCCCGAGGCCCCCTGATTGGGCTTCTGGCATCTGCAAGATGCGCAGCTTGCCTGCGCTTAATAGTCTACCCGCATTTCGACTCGCCTGGTGTAAGCGTGATTCGCACAAGATTCGCGTGTGCTTCGCGTCCGATTCGCGTCGCGGCACCCCCAAGACACCATCGGGAAACCATGCGAGACAACGCGCGGAACACTCGCAACTGCTTCAAAATTGTTTCGTGCCTGATCCACGTGTTTTGCACACGATTCATCTTCGTCTCGCACTTGATCCACCATGAATGCCAGACACCGCGCGAGACGCAATGTACTCTGCAACGATTCGTATGCATTGCGCCTTTCATTCGCGCACCACTCGAAACCGATCCACCACTCGCTAACCTTTTGGAGCACCAGGAGGAGACACCACCAAGACTCGGCGACGCGCCCAGGGACGGAGAAGGCCTCCTCAGAAGGCGGCGCGGCTTATGGGGAGCCCCCCCCGCCTTCTGAAACATTTTCTGTGCCTTCGTGGAAGGCTTGGACAACTTCTCAAAGGCCCGAGGCCTTCCGAGCCTTCTGGCCCCCTCTTACTTCCCCCCTGGGCTCGCCGCCGAGAGACATGCCCTCGTCCCCCCCCTCCTTCTCATAAGGGCGCCTTCGACAAGCAGGGCCAATGCCTGGCCTCTGCCGTGAATGCCGCTGCAAATCCCAAGGGGACTGTCCAGCGGGGCGGCAGCACCATGGGAACCCGTGAAAGACGGCACCACTCGACGAGCGCGTTCCACTATTCGCAAAATAACTACTCGCAAATGGCCTGGATCCCCCGCCAGGGATCTACGATCATTTACGTCAAAGCAGACAGGTTTTTTTTTCTCGGACGTTTGCGAATAGGCACTTTGCGAGTAGTGGAGCGCGCTCGTCGAACCACTGGCGCTTGCCGCCGTCCGAGCGTCTGCAGGCGACGCTGCCGGCGCTCGGCGCTCGTCGGCAGCAGGGGGCCCGGGGGAAATCTGCTCGTGCTCGTGCTGCTGCCCCTGTCTCGAGCCGCCCCCCTCTGATGGGCCTGTCTTCCACCACCACCATCATAAGTTGGAGGGGGGAAGGAGGAGGAGGAGGAGGAGGAGGAGGAGGAGGAGGAGGAGGAGGAGGAGGAGGACCCCCTCCCCCTCCAACTTATGGTGGTGGTAGTGGAAAACAAGCCTATCACCCCCCTCTCCCGCACCCTGCTCCCCGCGCCCCCCCGCCCCGCCTCTGTGGAACGAATCCATGGCGAGGACGAGAAGCTCATCGGGCGAGGATAAGTCGAGCATCTCTGAGATCCGAGGGCTCTGGAAGACGTGTCGGGCGCCGCGGCCTTCTCAAAGCGCTCTCTCGAACGGTCTGAGAGCGTTCCGGAACGCCATGACACGGACTTCTCCTCGTCCTGGCCCCGTCCGACTCTGCCCGGGCGAACAGCAAGGGGACCGCAAGGGTGGAGCAGGGACCGGCCGTCGCGGCTTCCGTATAGGCCTGTCACGGCATGTTCTTAGAACGAAAGGATGTCCGAACAACATCAGCAATGCTCTCAGAGCATGAAGCCAATGTGTTACAACCAGACGGTCTCAGCCAGAAATGTTCCAAGAACATTGTGCAAACCACAACAGATTACAGTCGGGGCATTGACTTAAGGAACCCTAAATAAGGAACGAGGTCCCTTTCTCTCATAAGAGAAACTTCGATTCCCCATGGGAAACCTCAGGAACACCCAAGGCAAACTGTGAAGCAATCGAGGAACACCGAGCCCCTCCCCAACGAAAAGGGCTCCTTCTTCAGCGCCCCGATAGTATTAGGACATTCTTTGGTGGGCCTCGGGCAAAACAGGACGCGCCTCAAGAGGGGGGATAGCGAACCAGCTCTCGTAGCAGCATGTTTTGGCGCCTCCTGGCGCCAGTGCATCGAAGAATGCGACTGGCGGCGGGGCCGAAACCGGCTGCACGCCACAGATTTCTCGCCACCCCCCCTCCCCACTCCCCTCCGCTCGTCCTGCCCGGCTCCCCCTCCCGCTCCTCCGCATCCGAGGGGGGCCGAGGAGGGGTGGACTGGCTCGGGGGGGGAGCGCTGGCCTGGACTCGGCGGCACATCGCCGATCTCTGGGCGACGGGCCGCCGCTCCAGGGCAGGGTTTGCTGGGGGGCCCGGGCCCCGACTGGCGGGGAGTGGGCGGCTGGGGGTCGATGGTCCCGCCCACCCCTGGGCCAGCCCGCCCCCCCTCCGTCGCCGCCCCGATGCTCGCCTTCGCTACGCACGGCACGCGGTTCTGCACGTCGTACTCGAACGGGTCGTCGGACACGTGCTTGAAGCGCACGTCAGGGCCCAAAATCTGTCCGGACGGGGGCAGGGCCGCCCCGGGGGAAAACTGAGAGTACGCGCCGTGAAGGTGCCTCATCATCGTCATGATCATCATTATATCAACATCACCATCACCATCACCATCATCACAATCATCGCCGTCATCACTATCATTTCCATACATCATGATTCCTATCATTCTCCTGGTCGTCATCATCACCACCATCATCGTTACCATCATCAACAACAACATCATCACCACCACCATCATCATCACCATCATCAACAACATCACCACCACCATCACCATCGCCATCAACATCACCGCCATCATCATCGCCATCCTCATCGTCATGACTATCGCCATCACCATCACCATCACCACCATCATCATCATCATCAGCATCACCATCATCATTATCACCATCATCATCGTCGTCATCGTCATCATCACCGCCACCACCATCATCATCAACACCACCATAATCACCATCATAAACATCATCATCATGATCATAATCATGAAAACAACCATCATCATCATCGTCATTGTCATCGTCGTCATTATCATCGTCGTCGTTATCATCGTCATCGTTACTAGGATCGGCATCATCCTCAGCATCATCATTACCATGATCAACGATATCATCATCATCATCAGCATCATCATCACCACCACCATCACCATCACTTTCACCACCATAATCACCACCATCAACGCCACCATCATCACCATCACCATCACTACCACCAGCACCATCATCACCAACACCCCAAGCATCACCACCATCATTATCATCATCGTCACCAGCATCACCATCATCGTCATCATCACCACCATCATCGTTACCACTACCATCAACAACATCAACGTCAGAATGCTCATCCTCGCCCCCGTCCCCACCCTCGTCCCCATCACGGCTCCTCCACCCTCGAACTGTCGCAACCAAGATGCTGGGCAGACACAGTGACTGGACTTGCCGCAGGCAGCTTGACATCTGCCTGGACGGGGGCCAGGCCGCCCCCGGGGAACGCCGATGGCACGCGCCGTGGAGGCCCCTCCGCCCCCCCCGGCGTGCGCGCGAGCCGTGCGCGAACGGCAGGGCTCGCTGGCGCGACGCAGGGGTTCGATCCGCACGAGCGGCCCCCTTGCAAGGATCACTCAGGAGGAAGAGGAGGAGGAGGAGGAGGAGGAGGAGGAGGAGGAGGAGGAGGAGGAGGAGGAGAGAGGAGGAGGAGGAGGAGGAGGAGGAGGAGGAGGAGGAGGAGGAGGAGGAGGAGGAGGAGGAGGAGGGGGAGGAGGAGGAGGAGGAGGAGGAGGAGGAGGGAGGAGGAGGAGGAGGAGGAGGAAGGGAGGAGGAGGAGGAGGAGGAGGAGGAGGAAGGGAGGAGGATGAGGAGGAGGAGGAGGATGAGGAGGAGCAGGAGGAGGAGGAGGAGCAGGAATAGGAGCAGCAGCAGGTAGATAGATATATAGAGCGGCATTGGGGGGCAAGGCAGTGCATTCGGCCGCAAGGATGGGCCCCCGCCGTCGCCGCTCAGAGCGGCACCTTCATTGTGATCCCGGCGCCACGCACGCCGATCACCTTGCCGAACGAGGCGTAGTCGTATCGGCCATCCATATTCCCATACTCGTAGTCATAGCCCTGCCCACCACGCAGCCAGCTCGTCCTCCATGACTCCTCCCGTTGGTGGTTTGCCCGTCTTCGCCTTAGCTCCCACTTGGATCAGCGCGCTGTGGGTGCTGTCCTTGGTGTTGCACTGCTGCTTCTGCTCCTCTTGAGGAACCTCCTCGGCCTCCGCGTCGGTCCAGGGCCCCTGCGCGATATACAGTGTGATCTTCGCGTGGTAGCTGTCATCGCACTTGCTGATCTTCAGGTGCTTCACTTTGTAAAGGTCTGTCGCCACACTGAACTGGTCCTCTAACTTCCCGTGCTCTGTGAGAATGCTCTTGGTATTGGCGCCCACGTCCGCGGGGCAGAGGGTCGAAATAAGCGAATGTCCCTTGCCCGCCTCCTTGCGCTTGTCCGCGTAGATCTTCCTGCAGGTTCGGGGCGCCTTGATCACCTCGGTCTGAGTCGACAACGGATACGTGCTGTCGACGGCGGAAACGACCCAGGCGATCTGCTGAGTGTTGGCCAGCACTTGCTTGATCATCACCGTGAGCAAATTCTTCAGCTTGAGGTCGCCCTTGGTCTGGTAGGCTTCTCCTCCTCGTTGTTGGCGTCGCATGGGGACTTCGCGACGCAGTTGAGGCCAGCAGCCGTGAGCTTGAGGAGGTGGAGGTGACCACGGCTTGGACTTGCACTGAAGCTGTCTGTAGAAGCAGCGCCAAAAGGGGCGCAGCATGTGAAGCATGCGCAAGCCGAGGACCTTAGGGTTGCCGTTCTTCTTGTCGAGGGTGAAGCTCTGGCTGTGGTGGGCGTTGAGTGGGGCGAAGCTGACGCGGTACGTGTGGTTGAGGACTGGCTCGAAGCTCTCCTGCGCGAGGGGTGCATCAGCGAGCTCGCCATCGTAGCCCACGCCTGTCGACTTCGGCTTCTGCTTGGTGAAGTAGGTGGGCTGGAAGGTCATCTGGAAGATCTCGGCGGGCAGTGACCAGTATGGCACGGGGGCGCACTTCTTGAAGTACTTGAGCCGCTTGGTGACGCCGTGGAGTGCTCGCTTGATGCCGTCCTTGGCGTCCTCGCATTCCTGGCGAACTTGTAGATTGTGCTCGGTGGTGAACTCGTGGGAGGTCTCTTTCGAGATGCGCTTCTCCTCCTCGAGGTCGATCTGGTGAGCACTGAACCCTCCGTGCTGGCCGTCTGCTGCAATGTGATCTACCCACTCCTGCACGCTGGGACGTGCTCTGGTCGCGCGGCTGTAGTTGCGGTTGCGCTTGCCGTATTTGGTGCCGGCCATGATTCGAGACAGTTGAAGTACTTCAGCGTGTTCTCGTCGTTGCCAAGCCTCGTAGATGCGCTCCTCTAAGTGTTGTCGTCGTGCTTCGTGCTGGCGCTTCTGCTTCTTGAGGGCACGTGAGAGGACCTCGATGTGGTACTCGAACTCGTAGTTGGGGTCGGTCCCGATGTACTCCTCGCTGAGCTTGGTGCGCGCCTGGGGTAGCCGCAGACGTTCGTCCATGAGCTGGTAGTATTGGTCGAGCTTGGACTTCTGGCGCTCGAAGACGGGCATGGCTGCCTCCTTCATGATGTTCACGAGGAGCTCCCCGAGTTCGTCCACTGTGTTGTCCCCGACCAGCTTCTTCAGCTTGTCCTGGTGCTTGCCGAAATTAAATCCAGCGCGTCATTGAACTCCTTGCGGTACTTTCCCTTCTGCAGAGCCAGGGCCATCTCGTCGTAGTCCCAGGCGGTCCCCTTTAGGTCGGTGAACACATTCGGGATGATGACGTTGGCGGCTGCATTCGGTAGGACAAGGTCGCGCGGCACGTTGTCATTGATGAGTTGAGGTGCCTTAGCCATTCGCCACCAGACTCTGCAAGAAGTAGTGCGGGAGCAAAGACCGTGAGGCACTGCGATGTAGTCGGGGCGTGTGGCCTGTCCGTGGGCACTGATGTACGTGGGCCCCGCGTTCCAGGAAGTGTTCAGGATGCACCTGCCGTGCACGTCGAGCGTGTATTGGAAGGCAGCGGTTGCCTCTCCAGGTACTCCTGTAGCGCCTGCGTCGCCGATCACGTTGCTAAACGTGGCGGGAGGCAATCCGTCCTGGCCGTAGTGGTCGTTCAGGTCTGGGCCGATGATCGGCGTGCTCCTGGTGGGCTTCTCGTTCTGGGTCTTGTTGATCCACTTGAGCTTCTCGTTGATCGTCATAGCCCGAGCGTAGTGGTGCTTGGCGGGCCCTGACCGTGGAGGTGGAGACGCAACAATGAACTTCGTGTCGAGTCCTCCTCGACGAAGGCGAACTGCTCCTGCACGTCCTTGAATGCTCGGCGGCGGGCTGGGGAGCGCGGTCACACGATTGATGCGGTAGAGGGTGCCGATCGCGCTGGCCACGCCCGCTTGATTGTTGGTGGAAGGGCCACTGCCGTAGCCCCTCGTGACGAAGCGGTGCGGGTAGGTCTGGGGCTGGTCGTCGGGGCTGGTGGGGGCGAGCTGCCTCCCACGAGTGGCTGGTAACATGATGACGTCGACTGCGCTGAACTGTCTCGACATCTGCAAGCTTCTCGGTGGCGCGACCGTGCTGAGCGGGTTATACACACCCCATCGCGGGAATGTCATCCAGAAAATCGCGAGAGAAGGAAATATGGATGGCCAGCCGCGCTGGCATGACATGAAGGGTGCCCTGGGGGCGGAAGCTGCTCTGCGTGGGGTGCCTGCTGGGCCGCGAAGAATGGGGCTAGAGCAGGAGACGGCGGCTGAGCAGCAGCAGGAGGAGGAGGAGGAGGAGGAGGAGGAGGAGGAGGAGGAGGAGGAGGAGGAGGAGGAGGAGGAGGAGAAGGAGGAGGAGAGAGGATGGGACATCGGGCCACCGACATGGGTAAAAACAATGGCTACACAGTACAGCAACAATTATTGTTCATTCTGAACAGGGTTCGCTGTCGGCCTCGCCGCAATCGTCTCCATTTGTGACTGGAGGCCGCCTGCCAAACGACGGCCGCTGTCGGTTTGGATAAAATTTGTTGTTGGACATAGTGCCCATGTGTTCAATACCCACCTCGGGCGGTTCAAAAGGGAGGATGGCACGGGATGGTCAGCGAAGGGCGGGGAGATGGGGAGCGGGAGGAGGAGGGCGGGACGAGAAGGGGGAGCACTTGAGGACGTGGAAGAGGAGTGGGGGGGGGAAGCAACGCCGAGGACGGAGAGCACTCCCGTGATGATTACCCTGTGGCCTTTCTCCAGATGACCTCCGCCAGCTCCAGGACAGTGTGCCCGACGTCAGTGGATATATTGAAGTCCTGCAGAGGAGACGAACCAAGATAGGAGTACGAGGGGGAGGATGACGTACCAACGATGTTGCAATTAACTTTCCTTCCAGGTTCCCTCGTCGTAACTCTCTACGAACATTAACACCCATTGCGGGAACTGAACCATTGGAAGACAGCCGTCTGAGAATTTTCGAGAATGCCAATAGACCATTCCTTGGACGTCTGGGCCGCGAATCAACGTGACTCTTGCGCCGTGTCAAATTGAAATCGTGCCAAAGCACAATTCATGGGACTTCAACAGCTCGAATCAACGCGATTTTACCGCCCTGACAATTCCAAGCCGTGTCAGAACACCTTCCCTGGGACTTTAACAATACTAATCTTGGACATGTTGCAAACGTTCAAATCGAATGCTGGCAACGCCACGGCGAGAACCGCATTTTGAAAAAGAACCGCCCTCCATCCGTGAAACGGCTGCGAACTTTTAAGACGAGTGTGCGCCGCGCTGAGGCGAAACCCACATTTTGAAATCGGCACGCCCTCCATCCGTGAAGCTGCTGCAACATGTTAAGACGACAATGCGCGACGCTAGGGCGAGAACCACCATTTGAAAACGACCCGCCGTTCATTCGTGAAGCCTGTTGAACTAGCATCAGGATCAGAGGTGGTTAAGAAATCTCAGATAAAACGCCCGGCACGCCTCACCGACGCCTGTGGGGGATGCGCTAGAGAGGAAATAGGTATTTTATTGCACCAATGTCTAAGGCTCCGACGATGTCTTTCGGCACGGCATCAACCAACGCGCCCCCGCTCTCTCCCTCCTTCGCTCCCCAACCAGCGCGCCCCCCCCGCCCCGAACTGTATTCCGGCACGGCACAGCACAGGCAGCCAGCCCAACTCCTCCGCGCTCGCGTAACCGTCTCGGCCCCTGCGCCCCGACCGCTTTATTCCGACACGGCATGGCACGGCACCGGCACAGCGCCCCTTGTCCCCTCCCGCGGCCAGTCTAGCTGCTCCCTTCGCCCCCCGCAGCTGAGGCATTTCCGCCTCGCCCCCCGGCCAACTCGCCCTACATGCCCAGACCTCTGTATTCTCTGGCGCAGGGTGTCTAGAGCTCCGACCACTTTATTTCGGCGTCGCACCGCCCCCTACCGCCCCGCCCCTCCGCCCCTCCACCCACCCACCCACACCAACCACCACCACCACCACCACCAGCGTGACACCGCCCCCGTCCAGTGCTCTCTCCACCCAGCTCCCACCGTCCCGACCACTTTACACACCAACCACCACCACCACCACCAGCGTGACACCGCCCCCGTCCAGTGCTCTCTCCACCCAGCTCCCACCGTCCCGACCACTTTACACACCAACCACCACCACCACCACCATCGTGACACCGCCCCCCGTCCAGTGCCCTGTCCACCCTGCCCCCCTCCGCCCCGACCACTTTATAGACCAACCACCACCACGAGCAGCGTGACACCGCCCCCCGTCCAGTGCTCTCCACCCCGCCCCCCTCCGCCCCGACCACTTTATTTCGGCGTCGCACCGCCCCCACCGCTCCGCCCTTCGTGCCCACACCCACCCACACCAACCACCACCACCACCACCACCAACACCACCACCACCACCACCACCACCACCACCACCAGCGTTACCCCCTCTGCCCCGAACACGTTACTTCGGCGTCGCACCGCCCTCCTTCCATTGCCGTTTCCACCCCCTCCGCCCCGACCACTTCAAAAGACCAGCCACCACCTCAACCAACGTGACACCGCCCCCCGTTCAGTGCCCTCTCCACCCCGACCGCCCTCCGCCCCGACAAGTTTACTTCGGCGTCGCACGGCCCCCACCGTCCCGCCCCCACGACCCTTCCCCCTTCCCCACCCTCCCAGTGCACCCCGCCCCCCTCCGCCCCGACCACTTTATTTCGGCGTCGCACCGTCCCCTCCGTCCCACCCCCCCGACCTTTCTCCGATTTTCTCGTCCCCTCTCCGATTTCCTCGTCCCCCCCGCCCCCTTGCCGCCCTGCCGGGCGGCAGAGTAGACAGCAGTAGCAGAAAGAAGTAAGGGTCACGGTCCAGAGAAAAGCACTGTAGTGAGTCAGCGTCTTGCATGCGATGTAAAGTCAGAGGCAGCACCGAGTCCGTGACAGCAGTTTGGCCCGGGTGGCCGCATTGGCGGCTGGGGAGCGCGCGCAGCAGGTGACGCTTACCTTCGAACCCCGGTCACCACCCAGGCAAATACCGGCAGTGTCGGCGCCATCGCACAGGTGCTAAAAAGCATCATTGCACTGCTCGTTACTCTTCGTTCCTCGTCGCTGGCTCGTGTTCCGGCGCGCTGGAGTTCCTGATCTCCTTCGCGCTACGGTGAGCCTTGCTTGCTCCGCACTGTCTGTGCGCGGGCGTCCATATTTCCATATATACATATCCGAGTTATACAGGTGATCTTATCGTTTGTTCCTGTGAGGGCAGTTGGTCGTGTGACACCTCCCACGGTTCGGCTGCCGTTTTCGGGACAGTCTTATCCATGGCAAGTGCAGTTGTACACCAGTGTGCCCAGATTTGCGCAAGTTCCGGGCTCCGTATGCTGCGCGCTGCCCTCCCAGCAGCCAGTGACGGTCGCTCTGCCGCAGGCGCGGCCGAAGTGCTTAGAAAGGGTGTCATTGCCAGTGTGTGTGACGCCCTGTGCGCACGGAGGCCCCCGGCACAGCTGTGGCCAACACTCGACGCATGCGTGCGATTGCTCCTGGAGTGGCTGTTCCCGCCCGAGGGCCGCTGGCGGCGGAGCAATCACGTTGTCGAGAGTCTGTGGGCATGCTTTGCGTCTTGCCGTTCGTTGCTGTGGTTGTCCAGTAATTGCCGCTCTAAGCATGCGAGGAAGGCGGCGCTCTTACTGGAACCTCGGCACAGAATGGCTCTGTGGAGACGCGAGCGCCCCAAAGATTGGAGTCTGCAAGAGCTTCGCAGCGCAGTCCATAGCTTACTCTATTTGCAGCTGCTTGCCATCCATGTGCCTTGTTCGTCACCGTGCTTGTTTTCCACCGACCGCGAGTCTTTGACCGGCCTCTACGCGTGGGCCGGGCCTTTTCGTAAGAAGCGGGCTGAAACCAGTGGCATCGCACAGCGTTGGTTGGAGCATTTGACGCTGACAGCGCGCAAGCACCCTAAAGAAAACAATAGGGTTCGCTACATGCTCATGCGCCGGACTCATTTTCACTGCACGCATTTCTTTGTCGCGCGGGCGGGCCCCGAGCCTACCATCCGTGCAATGGAGCGTCTGGAGATTGTCAGCCGCCGGCCGCTCGCTAATGGCCCACGCGGACGGCAGAGCCAGGCGGTACAATTGCTCCTCCCGTCCCGGTCCCGGCCTCCCAAGCATGCACGAGAAGTGTCGGGACACGGACCGTTTGACGCGGGCCTAGGGTTGGCCCCGCGCGTTGGCCGTCCAGTCGGCACCCCGCCCGCCCCCAACCCTAGGTAATTTCACGAGTTGTATTGCGAAGCCCTGCGCGTAACGCTTGCTCTGCATGGCGTTTGCGGGCCGATCGATATTTTTGCTGCGTGCCACATTGTACTCCTGGCTTGCCGGTTGGGGAGTAAGCACGCGTGCATGCCATGGCGGCTCCTCGAGCGCAGATGGGGGGTCGAGAACGGCTCGGTCGCCTTAGCCTCGCACCTGCACCTCGTCCCCGGCGCCGGTAGGAGGTCGGTGGCCACGCGCAGGATTAACAGCGCGCTTGCCACCCGATTCCTTCCGCCAGTTTTGGGTACCACGTGTCGTGCTCCTATTCCCCACGCTGTCCCCGCAATCCGCCGTGCACTTAACTCCATAGTGCGCGACGCCGCGGGGCTGTGGACGAAATCCGAGCAGGATTGGTTGCTCTCACACATTCGTATCGTAACGCGTTCACCGAAGAAGCATCGTGACTGTTGGAATGCGCCTGCTGTTAGCAATAACATGTGTGTCCGTGAGCTGTTGCAGACCCCGACGCCACAGCTGGGTGGCGCAGCCTCCGGGAGAGGGATGCGCCGGGTCGACAGAGTCTGGGACGTACCAGGCCGATGCGGCGGCTGCGAAGAGCGTCCGCGCAGTGCTCCGCAGCCTTGGCGCTCCCGCCTCGATAGGCGAGTTGGCCGCATTCCGTGCCGCCACCAATTTGCCTGAGTGCCCTGTCTACCGGCAAGCGCGAATTGCAGAGGACCGATCCAGTTGTCAGTACGAGTTGTACACATGCGACATGATGCCCCCTAGTTCCGAGGAGACTGTTGTTCCAGACGACAAATTGAAGAAATACATGTGGAAAGTCCCTCAGTTGACGTACCAATGCCTCCTTCTTACCTTCGCAATCGCGTCCCCGTCATGGCGGCTCTCCAGGCTGGATTGGAAGTCGGCGAATGCATGGTGCTTAGGGGTTCTAGACGTGCTTCTCCCGGACGCGGTAAAAGACTTCCTGTGCTTTTCCCGCTATTCGCACGTCTTGCCATACGTGTACGGGACAATCAAATCGAAATGCTTTCCAGGAGGCGCCCGAGGGTGCTCCAAGCCGCGGCACTCATGCTTCCGCAAAAACGTGTCCTTTGCCCGTTGGCCCGCGAGGAAGCGATGGCGCTTCATCCACCGCGCCCTCGAAACTGTGCTCCGCGAGCACGGCGGAAGCGACGAAGTGTGGTCGGTGAACGAGGCCAGTTCGGTGATGTCTAGCCGCGCGCAAGCAGCTTCGGTCGGCACCCACAAACCATGCTGCGCGAGGTGCGGCGGTCAAAAACCGGACTCGGTCGTTCTCGTGGCCGATGCGGGACAATTTTTCGAAGCCGTTCAACCCCGCACAACAATCCACTCCGTGCGCAGCGTGCTTAACAGGTGCACGCAGGCTACCGGTAAGGATGCCGTGACAGTGCTCCGGACACGCACGCGCCGGGCGTGGATCGGCACGGCTGCCGCATCGGTGAATGACCGGTGGGTCAGGTTCTCTTTCTGTGATCTCTTATTGTCGTTTGCTGCTTGCATGCTGATCCCATTTTGTGCACTCGGAGATGTTATTTTCCGTTTACAGGGCCTCCCAATCGGTGGAGTCATGTCGAAGGTGGCGGCAAGTGCGGTCCTCGGAGAAGAAGAGCGACGATGGCGTTGCGATGTGGACCGGCGGAGGCGTCTCGGATTCGCGGCCACGTCCCCGGCATGGGATCATGAAGTGGCCCGGGGACGCTACGTCGACGACGTTTTGTGGATCAGCTCGGTCTATTGTTGGCAGTGCATGAGAGACGCTTTGCGCGCCATGTACTCCGTGCCTTTTGACTTCGCAGAAGCATCGCCCGTCGTAGATTGGCTCGATTTGCGTCTTCGTGTGCAAAGCATGGATTGGTGCATGTCGCCAAAACCGTGGGTGCTCCCGCCTTCATGGGGCGCTCGCCGAGGCTACGCGCGCAGCCTGCTTGCTGGCCGGCTGCGGCGCTGGGCTGATGCCGGCATGGGTGACGAAGCTTGGGTCGAGGCCGTAGCCAATCTCATGCTCGGTTTTCGCGACGCGGGTTGGACGGCGAGGGCGCTGCGGGCGGCGACATTCCAGTGCGCCCACGCCACCCGCCCGCGCCAACAACAGTTGTTGTTGCGGGCCGTGTCGCGAGTGTGGCAGCGCAGCCGCGCGTGACGCCACAACGTACGCCTGTGCACCGTTGTCCTCTGCCGCGTTTTGGGTACAAAACTGGTGCGAAAGGTAAGGCTCACCCCACTGCGTGCGCGTCCCGCTGCTTTCACCACCCTGTACCCGTTACCGCACTCCCCATTCCGTGCGATCCTCGAGTGCAGACTCCACGATGCGCCTGCCATGGCTTCTGGCGATGGCGCTCCCGACGCTGGCTCGCGCCGGGAGGGACGGACCCGGCTATGGCGGCCAGTGGACCTCTTCCTCTTCCTGGCGTGGAGGGCGCTGGGACTCCGGCCGCGACTGGGGCCGCGGCAGCAGCAGCGGCGGCGGCGGCGGCATGCATGACCGGCTTGATAGAATGGAAGGCATGATTGAGAAGATGGCGAAGGGGAGCAAAAGCAAGTCCAAGCGCAAGAAGCGCGATTCAAGCAGCTCAGCATCTTCGACGTCATCCTCTTCATCCGGAGGCAAAAAAGGTCAACGCGGCAAAAAAAGCAAGAAAGATAAGAAAGACAAGAAGGATAAAAAAGACAAAAAAGATAATAATGACAGCCTGACGGACGCAGAGCGGAAGGAGCTGCAGAGCTTCCGCCGGGAGGCCGAGATCAAGTCCGTCAGGGAAGAAGTGTTGTCCAGCCTCGCAGGCGGGGAGAGCGGCGGCAGCAGCAACAAGCGCAAGAAGGAGGTGATCACGCCGCTCACCCCCAAGACGCTGCGCGCAGTGCGTGCGGAGTGCGTGATCTCAGGCAGCGACGGCTCCATCAAGCCGATGCTGTCGACAGACGTGGCCAACTGGGAACAAGTGAGTACGGAGCTTCAGGGTCAGCCGCTGCCAGACGTCAAGAAGCTCTTGACACGGCTGCGGGGCGAGGGCGGCGAGCCCCCGCCGCGGGGACGGGCAGATGTGGTGAATGCCGTGCTGGCGGAGCTGCAGTGCCAGACCGTCTCGTGACTGGAGGTCCAGGCGCCGCATCATGTCTCGGTTGCCCGCCCGTGGGGCGGCCGAGTCGCCGAAGGCGCGGCATGGGGCCTAGCTGCCTTGTTGGTGGCCTTGCTGGCTGGGTTCGTCTTGGGCGCGGCGACGACCGCCGGGACCGCAACCCAGCCTGTTTGGATGCCGTCGCCTGTCTGGAGGCTCAGCCAATACATGGGCGCTGTCCGCGTCCTTGCCTGCCACTTCAGGGATCGGCATGCTTACGTGGACATTGTGCCGTGAGGCCTTTCACATGTATAGTGGCGGGCAGTTGCGTCATATACAACGCCCTGTTGTTGCGCATGCGGGCCACATGCACCGCGGCGCCAACCCAGTTTGGACTTCCCCGCAGCGGGTTCTGCGGGCTCTGTGGGGGCAGGAGGGGCCCCGCCGAGAGAAGGTCCGGCCCCGGCGTCTCGAATTCGAGCTCAAGGATCTCTAAGGGGTTCTCCTCCGATCCCGCTGTCCCATGCCCCGCCCCTCCCCTCCCCTTCCGCCTTCCTACACACCCATGACGCGCCTGATGTGTTTCCTTCCCTCCCCGATTGCGGGAGGGCGCATTCAGGTGCCGAGAGTCTCGTGGGCGGCGCTCGGGGTCAAGAGTCGCACCTTTTTTCGGACCCCCCGGCGGAAACCGTGACCCCC